CAACCGCAAGGGATTCTGGCCCCTGGCAGGCGCGCGAACCCCGTTGCAAGAGCGTGCGAAAGTAGCTCGCGCGAGCTCATGTAACATAAATGTTGGAAAACCATTGGTTTTTTTAGGATTCGGACAGCGCGCGCGGGTGGAAATTTTGAAAAGTCGTGCAGGTGTTTTTCGAGGACCTACGGTGCGATTCGTGTGATTTTATGATGCGCGGTGCTAAAATTCTTAAGAACCCAATGGTTTTTGGAGATTTCGGCGTGCGCGCGCGAAGAAAAAACGAATGTGTCCCGCATGGTATTATTTGACAGGGATGATGGCCCTGGCAGGTGCGCAACCGTTGTCGCAGAAGTTCGAAAAAGTTGCTCGCAAAAGCCCGTTTGACAGAAATGTTTAAAAAGTGTTGGGTTTCCTACGAATCCGCAAGAGCGCGCGGGATGAGATTTTGACATTTTTTTGTTGAAAAACCATTGGTTTTTTGATGTTTTTATGTTAAAATCGCTCCGAACACTAAGCTTTTGGAAGGATTTCGTCTTGCGCGCGCGAATGTCCACTTTACCTTATTTTTTGCAAGGGATTCTTGAAATTTGATTATATTAGAACAAGAAATGTCATTTTATAGTGTTTTTTGCAAGGGAAAACGGACTACAACAAAACAACCGGATCTTGATCACATCGTTTTACCTGAGGCTTCCTCACGAAAATGATGAAAATGTAGCTGCGGCCTAGGCGGCGCAGGGGGGGCGCGCACCAGGGGGCCCAACAATAATTATTCTTTAGAATTAATAATGTTCAACAACAATTACTTGGGGACATCACCAAATAATAATGGGACAACAACAAAACCTCAAATCTCACCAGTGCCAGGGTTTTCATAGGAGGCGGGCAATACCCCCACTTTGTGGGGGGGCCGGTTCAAGCTCTACCAAATTTCCAAACGACTCTTCGCCACCACCCACACCCAGCTTCCCGCCCTATGACGTTCGGACACTTCACTTCGTGGCATGCGGACGACCGTGGCTACTATTCAGGGCCCCGCGGCCGACGACGACGGCGTGCGCGCGCGAAGAAAAAACGAATGTGTCCCGCATGGTATTATTTGACAGGGATGATGGCCCTGGCAGGTGCGCAACCGTTGTTGCAGAAGTTCGAAAAAGTTGCTCGCAAAAGCCCGTTTGACAGAAATGTTTAAAAAGTGTTGGGTTTCCTACGAATCCGCAAGAGCGCGCGGGATGAAATTTTGACAATTTTTTGTTGAAAAACCATTGGTTTTTTGATGTTTTTATGTTAAAATCGCTACGAAACTAAGGTTTTGGAAGGATTTCGTCTTGCGCGCGCGAATGTCCACTTTACCTTATTTTTTGCAAGGGATTCTTGAAGTTTGGTTATGTTAGAACAAGAAATGTCCACTTTAGCTTATTTTTTGCAAGGGAAAACCGATCGTAACAACACAACCGGATCCGGACCAACCCGTTTTGCCTGAGACTTCCTCACGAAAATGATGAAAATGTGGCTGCGGCCTAGGCGCGGCGGGGGGTCGTGCACCAGGGGCCCCAACAATAATTATTCTTTAGAAGTAATAATGTTCAACAACAACAACAACAACAACAACAACAACAACAACAACAACAACAACAATCATTTTACCCGAACGCTCAGTGTTCTCACCAGTGCCAGGGTTTTCATGCGACGCGAGACAATACCCCCACTTCGTGGGGGGGCAGTTCAAGCTCTACCAAATATCCAAACGACTCTTCGCGACCACCCAAACCCAGCTTCCCGCCCTATGACGTTGGGACACTTCACTTCGTGGCGTGCGGACGACCGTGGCTACTACACTGGCGTGGGGTACACACCCACAGAACTTGGTCACTTATTCGGGGCGCGCGTGTGCCCAGCATCCTGCAATTGTGACATACAATACATGACACAGACAGACAGAGAGAGAGACAGAGAGCAGACAGAGAGAGAGACAGAGAGAGCGGAGTTGGTCACATTTTTGGGGCAAGTTCCTGAGATCGTCGTGTTTTTTGTTGGTCTTGCGCGCGCGAATGTCCACTTTACTTTTTTTTTGCAAGGGAATTGAAATTTGATTATGTTAGAACAAGAAAAAGTAGCTCGCGCGAGCTCATGTAACATAAATGTTGAAAAACCATTGGTTTTGTGGGAGTCGGACAGCGCGCGCGGGATGAAATTTGGACATTTTTTTTTGAAAAACCATTGGGTTTTTGATGTTTTTATGTTGAAATCGTTACGAAACCTAAGGTTCTGGAAGGATTTCGTCTTGCGCGCGCGAATGTCCACTTTACCTTATTTTTTGCAAGGGATTATTGAAATTTGATTATGTTAGAACAAGAAAAAGTAGCTCGCGCGAGCTCATGTAACATAAATGTTGAAAAACCATTGGTTTTGTGGGATTCGGACAGCGCGCGCGGAAGGACATTTTGACAATTTTTTCTTAAAAAACCATTGGGTTTTTGATGTTTTTATGTTAAAATCGTTACGAAACCTAAGGTTTTGGAAGGATTTCGTCTTGCGCGCACGAATGTCCACTTTACCTTATTTTTTGCAAGGGATTCTTGCAATTTGATCAAGTAAGAACAAGAATTTTCATTTTATAGTGTTTTTTGCAAGGGAAAACGAGCGTCAACAAAACAACCGGATCCGGTGACAATCCACTTTTCTATAGCTTTCGCTAGAAAATGAAGAAAATGAGGCTGCGGCCTAGGTTTTGGAGGGGGGTCGCGCACCAGGGGTCCCAACAATAATTATTCTTAAGAAGAAATAATGTTCAACAGAAAGACAAGATCCACACGCCGACGCGATCTCAAACGCCACCACGCTGCGCATCGAGCCGCACATGGCGCGCCACAGCGCCGCGGAGACGGCACATGCATTCTGGCGGCCTGCCCGTGGGGACGGCAGCTCCGCCCCTCGCGCCGCTCCCTCGCCCCGCTCTCCCCTGCAGGCCCGCGGAGCCACCCCCACAGAGAGGGGCCGCTGGGCGTCCTGGGCTGCAGGCTCGGCGGTCCTGCAGGCCCAGACCCCCTCGAGTAGTGAAAAAATCATGAGGGGTGGTTTTTCCTGATTTTCGGCCTCCGGGGGCCCTCACCCAGCCTCGGGAGCGTCAAAAAACGACTCAGGATGCAAAGCCGGTCATGGGGAAAGGGTCGGGACCTCTGGGGGTCGACGTAATGAAAAAATCATTACGTCGGGGGTCTGGGGGGGGCCACGTGCGAGCCCTACTACCCCTACCCCCCACGATTTCTGAGGGTGAGGGTGGGGTTCACTCCGTTCGGCCCACGATTTCTGGGGGTGAGGGCGGGGTTCGCTTCGTTCGGGAGCTCCCGAGCGAGGTGAACCCCACCCTCACCCCCAGAAATCTCGTGGGGGGGCGGGGGTAATGGAGGATGACGATTAACAAATGGCCGGGGGTCGTGTTTACGCGGCGGCGCCCGGGATGACGATTAGGAAAAACCGGCCGCGGGCTGGAAAACTATTTTTCAAGCGCTCTCATCCAGGCAGAAACTTGTGCACACATAGCAGAAGACTATGTTTTTAATCGTTCCCTCCCATTTTGTATGAATCGTCATCCCGCACTATCGGAGGGCACCAGCTATACACCAGCACCGATCCTGGTCAGGACCACCCTGGGCCCAGGATCGGTGTATACGCCCTCCTGCCCCTGGGCAAGAAGGCACGTGCACCGATCCTGGGCCCAGGGTGGTCCTGGCCAGGATCGGCGTTGGTGTATAGTTGGTGCCCTCCTACATTCCCAGACCCCCGACGTAATGTTTTTTCATTACGTCGACCCCCAGAGGTCCCGACCCTTTCCCCATGACCGGCTTTGCATCCTGAGTCGTTTTTTGACGCTCCCGAGGCCCGGTGAGGGCCCCCGGAGGCCGAAAATCAGGAAAAACCTCCCGTCATGATTTTTTCATTCCTCGAGGGGGTCTGGGCATTAGGGTTCGCGTGTGCACCGCTCTCCGGGGCCACCCCCCCGAGGGGGCGCGGAGGCGCCTGGGGGCCTCGCGCGGCCTGGGCCATGCGGGCGCCCTCGCCCTGCCCTGCCGGGTGCCTCCTCCCCACGCTCGAGTCGGGCACGTCCCTCTGCGCGGGCAAGGCGGAGTGCATATCCACGCCGGCGGATCCCCAGACCCCTCGAGTAATGAAAAAATCATGACGGGAGGTTTTTCCTAATTTTCGGCCTCCGGGGGCCCTCACCGGGCCTCGGGGGCGTCAAAAAACGACTCAGGATGCAAAGCCGGTCATGGGGAAAGGGTCGGGACCTATGGGGGTCGACGTAATGAAAAAATCATTACGTCGGGGGTCTGGGTCACGCGATGGCGAAGAATCAGGAGTATCTGGAGGCGGTCAAGGAGGAGGCCCCCATGTTCCAGTGGGTGCCGCCAGAACTCCGTCCGTTTTCCTTGGCCATGAAGGATGTCGAGAATGAGTTGCATTCGGAAGGTTCCCAGCCGCAGTTCAGAGCCCCGAATCATCAGGGGTAACTCGGGTCAGGGCTAACTCGGGTTCGTTTCTCGGGGATCCGAACCCGAGTTGCCCCGGGCCCGAGTGACCCCCGAATAATTCGGGCGCCCAGAGCCCCGAATCATCAGGGGTAACTCGGGTCAGGGCTAACTCGGGTTCGTTTCTCGGGGATCCGAACCCGACTTGCCCCGGGCCCGAGTGCCCCCCGGATAATTCGGGCGTCCAAGAAGGGTCCAAGGTGCCAACAAACATGGCCGGGGCACGACGTTTGGACCGTGTTTGACCGTTCTTGCACATTTTGTTCCAGAAGTGCGCTGCATTTCTCGGCGAAGAGCTGCCTGTGGGGGGACACGCCCGACTGGACCCTGCGCCTCCCTCGCCCAGCTTCCTGCGCCACGACGTGGCCAGGCTCCGTGGCACCCGCTCGGCTCCAGCCGCCGCGGCGCGCTCCACGGCGCGCCCCGCCCCGATGGCCCGGGAACCGCCCGGGGCGCCCCGAGGCGCGCGCGCGCACCATGGGCCTCCCGGCCGGCGTGCCCGCGATGGGCGCCCTGGCTGCGAGCTCGGCGGGCGCGCTCCTGCTGGGGCGCCTCGTCGTCGGCGGCAGCCCCCACGCGCTCGGCTCGAGCCGCGGCCGCCTGGCCCTCCACGCCGCGGTCGGCCTCGTCGGCGCCGTCTTCTGGGCGTGGGCCGTGTGGATCTGGGCCACGTCGGATGGGCCTGCTTTCCACACTACCGCCAGAAGTTGGAGGGGGGAAGGAGGAGGGGGAAAAGGAGGAGGAGGAGGACGAGGAGGAGGACGAGGAGGAAGAGGAAAGGGAGGAGGAGGACCCCCTTCCCCCTCTTGCTGGAGGTGATGGCGGTGGAAAGCAAGCCCGCCAAGGTCGCACGTCGACCTGGGGGCCGTGTCGTTCGGCACCGTGCTCCTCGCCTCGCTCCACGGCTGCAGGGCCGCGCTGGGCACCAACAGAGGCGGCCTGCGCAGGGTGCGGTGCCACAAGAGGCTAATGCCGCTGTCCTGCGGGCTGGTGGCCGCCAACTACCTGCTCGGCATCGCCCTGGTGAGGTCGCCGTGGACGCTCTGCCTCTACTTCGCCGTCGCCGCGGCGTGGTGGTCCATGGCCGGCCTCGCCGCCTACCACCTCAGCGCCGGCCTCGTGGAGGACCTCGAGGGGCACCGGCAGTCCGAGGAGGGCCAGGTCCTGGGCGCGGGGGCCGAGGGCGGCTCCTGAGCCAGGGGCTCGCCCCGGGGCGCGCGCTCCAGGGCCCCCCAGCTCAGGGGAAACGATAGGAGGGGGGGGGATGGGCACCTGCAGCTCGGAGCGCACGGAGAGGAGGAGGAGGGAGGAGGAGGAGGAGGAGGAGGAGGAGGAGGAGGAGGAGGAGGAGGGGGAGGAGGAGGGGGAGGAGGAGGAGGAGGAGGAGGAGAGGCGGAGGAAGAGGAAGTGGAGGAGGAGGAGGAGGAGGAGAGGAGGAGGAGGAGGAGGGAGGAGGAGGAGGAGAAGAGGAGGAAGATGAGGAGGAGGAAGTAAAGAGGAGGAGGAGAGGAGGAGGAGGAGGAGGAGGAGGAGGAGGAGGGAGGAGGAGGGAGGAGGGAGGAGGAGGAGGGAGAGGAGGGAGGAGGGAGGAGGGAGGAGGGAGGAGGAGGGAGGAGGGAGGAGGGAGGAGGGAGGCTTTTTTTTGACTATACTAGGCTCGTTGCAAGTTAGCTTGAGCGCAGCGGCCAACAGGACTGGCACAGGCTGCACACGAGAAGCCCGAGAGCATGGACGCTGAGCTGCTTCCGCTCTCGTCCCGAAAACTGTCGGGAGAGAGGTATTGGCGCTGCGGGAGGGGAGTAGAGGGATCATATGCGAGAGAGGAGGAGTTTGCAGCGCCGTGCGAAGAGAGACATCAGCGGGGCCCTGCTTCGTTGCCCATAGCAGGGCAGCCCTCGAGGCAGAGAGCAGTGCAGGGCTAGAAAAGAAGTATCTGGCCTGGGAATGCCTACCCAAATTAAGTAGACCGTGCGGAGAGAGAATGAGCCGGACGGAGGGCCAAAATGGCCGTGGGCGGTCGAACCGCCTTGTTGCTGCTGAGCAGCGCATTGGGGGAGGGAGGAGGCTTGATAGAGAGAGGGAAGAAGAAGGGCCAGAATGGCATTGCCGTGCTGCAGGGCGGACGCTGCAGCTGAAAGGCCTGTACGGGCCGGCCGCGGCGGGGAGGTGGGTGTGCCTGGGCGCTAGCCGAGACCAGACAGCAGAGACCCACCTCCGTGTGGCCCCTCACAGGCACACAGGGACCTAGGGGACCCTGCTACACCTGGACGAGGGCCAAAGAGACAAGCCGGGGCAAAGTGCCACGGTCCTCTCACGAGGCACTTGTGGCTAGGGCTGTCTAGGTAGTGAGCTGCCAAGGCGAACCAAGAGTATTAGGCCAGCTCACCACCTAGGAGACTCAACCGTGGCGAGTCTGCGAATTGCTGTGTGAGCTTAGCCGATCGCTGTTTAGCGAGGCTGCTAAAATGTGCCGCATTGGCCGCACTCGTGCGGCAAAGTGAGAAGCCGCGCCCATGAATGGCAACTACTCTTGCACAGGACCTCAAGGGGGGGCCGGTGGAAAAAAGAGTGACTAGGTGGGCTGCCGAGTTAAGTATTAAGCTGGCTCCGCCCCTGTGTGGCGCATTGGCGGTTGCACCATGCCCATCCCCAGAGATGGTGCCGACTGGCGCCGCAAGAGTTGCAGTGAGAGTGTGTACCTGAAGGACCCACTGCAGCGGACTGCATGTCGGCTCGGCCGACCTTAAATTGGAGACGCGGCGTCTCCTTGGTAGATTTTGACTCGTGTGATGGCTAGGGCTGTATAGGTGGTGGGCTGCAGGTAAACCGGGATCCGAGCAGTGTGCTAGCCCACCACCTATGCGTGAGGACTCAGCCGTGGCGAGTCTGCGAATTGAGATGTGTGAGCGGCGTTTAGCCGCCTCACTGTTAGCGGGGCTGCTCAAGGTTGCTGAGCCGCACTATGACGGGATAGGCTGGATGCTGCTAGGCTCGCGTGGCCTACAACTCAGCTATGCAGGACGGCTCGACCGACCTAGAATTGGAGCGGCATGGCTCCAGCTGTTTAGGTGGTGGGCTGCCGAGGTAAGGAGAGAACGCTGGAAAGATGAATAAAGGGAAATTATTAGGCGAGCCCACCACCTACGTGGGAGCGCTGCTAGTTGCGCCGAGGTCGCTTAGAGACCTAGAGGGGCGCTGACTGATGCAGCACTAATGTGGCTCGCTCAGGCACCGAGGGGCGACGGGTTGAGAGTGCGGGCGGCAGCCGAGAGCGCCGAGAGACCTGCCGCTGTCGCCGCCGCTCGCGCCTGGGCCTCTTGCGCGGCAGCCTGCTGCTGGTTGTAGTGGTCCCTCAGCATGGCCTCCACCTCTGCGATGGTCGCCAGGCCTGGGGTCTCGATCCACTCCCAGTCCCAGGTTTCGACGACCTGGCTGTCGATGACGTCCAGCGATTTGAGCTTCCAGACGAACGGGTAGAGCATGCCGTTGGGCATCTCCCACTCGCCAGGGTATGTGGAAGGCCACCACTTTTTGAACTCACGCGTGGCGGCCGTGTATTGGGAGCCCTGCCATGCCGAACCAGCATACGTGTCTCCTGAGAGGCCGAAGAGCTCCCGCGTGTTGGGCGACGCCCTGCTGGCCTCGGCCGCGCCCGTCTCCGCCGCGGCCGCTGCGGAACCGCCCGCGGGAGGCATGGGCACCATGGCGGCGTGGGGCGCGCTGAGAGAAGGGGGGAGTGCCAAGGGAACAAAAAGAAGTAGCCCATAAGCCAACGGCCAAATATGAGTGAAACCTAGCTGGCCCATGCTTGCATCTGTGCGAGGAGGACCCTCCTGACGGGCCGACTGATGCATGCTTGGCCTGGTGCGGAGTCTATAGGGATGAGGATGTTACCGCTGCGCATGTTGACCCGCAGCGAAAGGCCGGTGCGGTAGGGTATGCCCGTGCCAAATAGGATGGGCCGTGCATCCATCTCCTGAAGAATGGGGAGGTGAAAAAAGCGCGGCCTTTCCGCAGTGGATGGCAGCCTGGTCTCCTGCCCATGGAATTGCTCCATTAGGAGCCCTACATTGATGGGCAGTGGGGACCAAAGCGGAATGTGGCCTGTCGTTATTACTACCATCCACTGCACTACTGTAGGCGGTGGTGGCACTGCCTCAGTGGGGGCGCAGCGGAAGTCGCCGTGCTCGAACTGCGGCAGGTGCTGCGCCTCTGGGGTCGGCATGGCCTGAGGGATTAGGGTTCGGGGAGACGGAGGATACGAGCGAGGTGGGACAACGGGAGGCAGAATGGCCGAACCATGATCATGGCCTGGAAATCTATAAGGATGGGGCTGCCAGCCGCTGCATCCTGCAAAAGACGATGAGGGCTGAGGGAGGACTGCTCCCAGGCCCCCGATTGGAGCAGGTCCAGAAAAAGCTGGTCCGGCACGTAAACAGAAACTAGCCCTATGGTGGGTGAGAAACGTGCATCATAGGGGCCGTCCCCCGCAGCACATTGATGGTAAATGTGGAGTAGGTTAGGGGATTTGGCCTCGCGCCAGCGCCCATGCCAGCGCTCGAGTGTGCGATTAACGGCCGTGGGCAAATCTAGGTGAAGCACAGGGCCCACGAAGGCGCGCGCGTGTGGCCATGCGGGCGGCCCGCTCTCGAGCTGCCATGTGGCTTGCCACTGGGGTACCGCATTATGCTGGTACACCGTGGCGGGAGACAGAATGAGTGCGTGGCGCCTCGCGCCGCCGCTGAGAAAGCGGTAGACTTGCTGGCGAGCCAAAAGAAGCCGCTCAGCCAAATGCTTCCATAAGGAAGCCAAACGAGAGGCTGGTGGCGAGATGCTGCGCGGCTCTAATTGTTGCCCCGGGTACGCCTCAGCAGCGGGCATGTCCTCGTCTGCACCGGCGTTGCCCAGGATACTGGGCTCGCCCCTCATGACCTGAAGGGGATGAGGCGGAAAAGGGAGCTGGTAAGAGGAAAGAAGGAGAGGTTAGGCTTAGGCTGCGGGTTAGCTGCCTGGCAAAAGCTAGCGCCTGGCATCATCACCTCCTTCATGAGGTTTACGCGGCCTCCTGGGCGAAAGACGCTGACCGCAATGCGAGAGGCTTTCGCCTTCTCGCAACTGCAGCCTGAGGCGCTCCCTGTGCATCCTGTCGATACGGAGCTGGTCCTGCCTATGCTCCTCTTTGAGCTGGGCAATTCTATTCTCGTGCTCCTTGAGAAATGAGCTGCGCTGCTCGTCCGCTGCTGCGGCTGACGCAGCTGCAGCTGCGACTGTAGGCGGCAGGCGCGGAGCTACCCGGGCAGTATGGTGAGACTTGCGAGCCTTATGGTGCCTTGGAGGAGGAGAGGCTGGAGGCGAGGCCGGGCCGTGGGAGTCCTGCGGGCTGCTTTGGGCCTCTACTGGTTCTTGGCGCTGTGGCGCAGGCTGCTCGTCCGAGGCTGCATCAGACGCTTTGGCAGGCGAGCGTGAGCGCTGAGCTGCATGGGCCGCGCGGTGCGCCTTGGCCTTGCGAGCCCGATGGTGCCTAGGGGGAGGAGAGGCTGGAGGTGACGTCGGGCCGAGGGACTCCTGCGGGCTGCTTTGTGCCTCAGCAGGTTCCCTGCGTATCTGCGCTGGCTGCTTGAGCGCGCTTTTGCGCGGCTCGGTGCGTAAGCGCGAATTATAGGCCACCTTGGGGGGCTTGGCCGTGAACTCGTCCGCAAATGAGACCTGTTTGCGCTTGCGAGTTGCAGAGGCGCGGGGCGCAGCGGACTGTTCCGCCGGCTCTGGAGAGTCATGCGGAGGAAATGGTGGGGAGGCCGAGGAATATGAGGCGTCGCCCACCTGATCCAGCCTTCTAGGCGATGCTGGGGGACTAGAAGCCCTGCTCGGCTGGCTCCTGCGTGGCGCAGCTTTACGAGACTGTTTGCGAGGCTCGCGCAGGGGTGGAGGCGAGGTGCACGCTGAGAGGGGTGGAGAAAAAGGAGAGGCTGCCTGGCCTATCCAGCCTTCCGGAATGGCTGCTTTGGCAGGCACCCTGGGATGATCTGGGGGCGGCAAGGGAGGCAAGGCGGGCGGAGGTGGCGGAGGAGGAAAAGTGGCCCCGTAAATGTGCCTGCCTCGACCCATGGGGGGGCCGCTGAAATCGCCAGGCGGCCGCGGGGGATCTGAGGCTGGTGGGGTGCTGGACAGAGAGCGCTGCACCGCTTTGGCTACCT